GAGGGCGTTTTCATACGCGTTTGGCCAATCAATGTCTACTTACGTCACGATTAGTACCAGTTGTGCTGGTTAGACCCTGCTCCGGAGTAGGAGCTAATTTGGTTCTTGAAAAAGGCAGTCCGGTACTAAGGTGCGAAAACGCCAAAAAGTGGGTAGTTCCACAATTAGTTCTGGTACTATGAAAAGGTTCCCGCGGTGCAAAAGGCCCTATGGACTCGGAGTACTTGGACTCTGATAACGGAGTGTACAGACATTGTACATTGTGGTCTAGTTTAATAAATTTATAAACAAATGCATAAATAAATGCATATAAACAAATGCATTAATGTATAAAAAGTTATACATTTAGTTATGTATTGATTTATTAATACATTTATGCATTTAATTTTACTGCATACAAAATGCATAAATAGATTAATTATTGTATAAAAATGAATAAATGTATACATAAATAAATATATAAATAAATGCAGAAATAAATAATTGTATGAATAAATGCAGGCCTACAAATAGAAATAAATGCATAAATGTATGAATAAATGCAAAATGTGTACATAAATAAATGCATAAATGTATAAATAAATCCATGAATAAATAATTGTATAAATAAAGGCATAAATAAATCCAATACATAAATACATATATAAATAAATAATTGTATGAATAAATGCATGCCTAAAAATATAAATAAATGCATAAATGTATGAATGTATGAATAAATGCAAAATGTGTACATAAATGCATAAATGTATAAATAAAACCATGAATAAATAATTGTATAAATAAAGGCATAAATAAATCCAATACATAAATACATATATAAATAAATAATTGTATGAATAAATGCATGCCTAAAAATATAAATAAATGCATAAATGTATGAATGTATGAATAAATGCAAAATGTGTACATAAATGCATAAATGTATAAATAAAACCATGAATAAATAATTGTATAAATAAAGGCATAAATAAATCCAATACATAAATAAATATAAAAATAAATGCAAAAATGTGTACAGAAATAAATTTATAAATAAATAATTGTATGAATAAAGGCATAAATAAATCCATAAATGCATAAATAAATGTATAAATTAATAAATACATAATTGTATAAATACTTGCATACATGTGTATATAAATAAATGCATTAATAAATGCAAAAATAAACAGATGTATAAATACATAAATACATGCAGAAATAAACCATAAATACAAAAATGTGAATAAAAATAAATGCATAAATGTATAAATAAATCCATGAATAAATAATTGTATAAAGGCATAAATGAATCCAATGCATACAAAAAAATGTATAAATAAATGCAAAAATGTGTACATGCATAAATGTATAATTAAATAATTGTATAAAAAAAGACATAAATAAATACATAAATGCATAAAGAAATGTATAAATCCATAAATATATAACTGTATATATATATTAAATACTAGCATAAATGTGTACATAAATAAATGCATTAATAAATGCAAAATAAACAGATGTATAAATGCAGAAATTAATGTGGAAATAAACTATAAATAAATGAATAAATACAAAAATGTATAAATAAATTCAGGAATAAATAAATGCAGAAATAAACGCATAAATGCAGAAGTGTATAAATAAATGCATAAAAAATGCAAACATGCTTAAATAAATAAATGCATGAATTAATCAACCAATCAATCAGAGGCTCACCTTCACAGCGCAGGCACTTGCTGAGCTCGTAGGGGAAGATAATGTCTTTGTCATTTCCACAGAACTCACAAATGAAGCCTTTGGCCTGGCAGAGCTGTGGGAGAACAACAAGAGAAGAAGAACGAATAAACCTGATCATCTGAAACTGATCATTTGCAAATCTAGATGAAATATTAATTCCCCATTTTAGACACTTAAAGAAGTGCCATGTTATGTAACTCCTATCAAATCCTATAAATGGTTCCTCACCACGCAGTCCGTGACGTGGCTGGAGCCGAGGCGGAGCAGATCACGCAGCTTTGGCGCCAGACTGCCGCTGCGGACAGCCGTGAGGTCGTTGAGAGAGAACAGGTGAAAGTCTTCGGTCAGATGTCCAGGAAGAGTGTCAAACTGATCCAGCACCCTGTCAACAGAACGGAGACTTGTGACGCAATGCTCTTCAGTGCCGTCTCGAAGAAAAAGTGCAGGAAAAACACTTACTCTTTAGCCAAACGGCACGTTTTTAAGAGATTCTTCATGTGGTTCAACTGTTCCCTCAATGCCTTTAACAGAAAGAGTAAATTCATTCTTAATGAAACAATACGAATCACAAATAAAATGTGCCTAAACAAATGTTAATTATATTATATTATATTATATTATATTATATTATATTAGGGCAGGGCGATATAGCAAAAAAGTTTGTCAACGATATAATGTTTCATATCGTTCGGTATCGGTAATTATTGAAATTTTTTATAACCTTTTTTAAAACAAAGAGCAATAGAAAAAATATTTAAATTTAACCCCTGTATTTTTAAATTAACCCAATTTATTGAGACAAACAACAAATATTTTTTTGTTTTAACAGTCAAACACACAATAAAAATTAAACAAATATCTAATTTCTAATGTTTTATATGCAGATTAAATAGGTTTTAAGGAAACTTTTGTCGTGTCTCGCGAGGCCACAGGAGGGCGCAATGAGCACCTCCACAAATTCGCAACGTGTTTTCTAAAAGTTTAAACTGTTTTAACTTTTCATGGCTACATCTCTTGTGTGAGACGCGAGTGCAGCAGTCATATTTGTCAGTCTAAAAAAATGCGCTGAATGCGCTCAGAGCACGTGCGCTATATCGAACATTTTTTATATCGTTATCGAAGAAGGTGTACCGTCGATAAATATCGATACCGTTTTATCGCCCATGCCTATATTATATTATATTATAAAATTTGAGGTAACCCCAAGTCACCAAGTATTCTTTCAAAATGTATTTGCTCAAAAATACAGAAAAAAATACAGTAAATACAGTAATATTGTAAAATATTATTACAATTCTAAAACTTTTTTTTCTGTACATTTTAAAATAGAATTTATTCCAGTCATGGCTAAGCTGAATTTTCAGCAGCTTAAATGTTTCTTTGATGAATATAAAGTTTAAAAGAACAGCATTTATTTGAAGCAGAAATATTTTGTAACATTATAAATGTCTTTACGGTCACTTTTGATCAATTTAATGCATCTTCACTGCATAAAAGCATTAATTTTTTAAAATTTAATTAAAAATCTTTCTGACCCCAAACTTCTGAACAGTAGTGTGTAGTAGTGTAATTTATATAAATTACATTTTATTACATATTTTATAATATATTATATTAGTATTTTATTTTTACACTATTACAGCAAAGCCATACATAGACATTTTTAATTTTGAACAATATACTTTCCAAAAGTCAAAACTAACTAAATTAATGTGCTCTTCATGCTGAGCAAAAAAGTTACTTTTACTGGTTTACTTGCTAAATAAACAAATATTATATATACTTTTATAATATTAATATATCACACTCTCACAAAAAAACTATATATACAGAGAGAGAGATATAAAATTTAAAATATATAAATAATAATAAAATGAAACTATTTGTTATATA